GACATCCGTGACGGCTAAACACATTGCCAAGTAAGGCGCGTGTTACCGTCTCCGCGTCTTGTTTAGGTATTGCGACGGTTTCAGGAAATCGTGTGAAATGGTCAATGAAGGTGAGAAGATAATTCTTTCCTTTCTCACTGAGTGGGTGAGGTCCACAAATATCGATGGAAGTAATTTCGAAAGGAAAGTGAGTCTCTGGAAGCTCACCTGAAGGTGCGGCAATGATTCGTCCTCCCTTATGTTGAGCGCAAGAGTGACATTTGTTTACGTATTCTTCGACATCTTTGTTTAATGTCGGCCAAAAGTAATGTAATTTGATAATGTCCTGCGTTCTGGTAATACCCTGATGTCCTAGGTATACTTTATCATGATGGTGTTCAATAACTGTCGAAATTGAACTTTGAGGTATGATAATCTTCGTTTTCTGTCCTACGACTTTGTAACAAAGAATTTCATTATTATCAAGAAAGAATTTAGTTTATTGCGATGTTCCTTATCTGTTCTTGGCAATAAAAATCCTCTTGTGCTCTAAATATACGTATTAGAGGTTCGGTGAGACATGAGCTGTGAAATGCGCGTGAGGCAGGGTACTGACGCTGTCTGCTAGCTGTAGTAGGGCACGTAGGGGAACAGTTTTCTCTGTACTACTAAACACAAAAGCATTAGTGTACATTGAATTATCTCCAGTGGCTGATGAACATTTTACAAAGCTTCTGTTACTCTTAATTCATCATCTGCTATTTCCTTAGAACTGCTACGACTGTTGGTATCACTGTTGTTTTGTAAGTTAACTATAATTTGTTCCGAAATGTCAATAATAGGTTCGAACCGCGAGGAATTTGTTCGCACTTTCCTCAGCTGGTTTCATAGCATCATCTAGACGGAAACTGACATCCTCTCTGGCGACATATTCTTTGACCAATCCCCGTATCAGTTCAATCGGATTGAGATCTGGGTGATATGGCCGCAAGCGAAGGACAGTGGCCATGTTCAGCGAGTAGAACATCGATTACTATATTCAGTTTATTTGCCGCCAACTGTACGCTGCCTGATCGAGCAGTGACGCTCGTATCATCAGCGTAAATCGAGACGGCCACATCATTGTCGTTTTCTATGGTTGGTAAATCATTTATATGAATATTGAATAATACGAAGTTCTCACTAGCTTGACTTTTAGCATAAAATTTCTTTGGTAGCTTCCTGACATGGTTGCGGAACGTCTCCATGCCAGTTTGCTCATGTGAAATTTCGATTGCCGTTACCCTTGGGAGTTTCGTTATAATTCTGAGCACCTTGTTCTGAAAAAGTTGGAGCTTACTGATGTGTGTTTTGGCCGCGTGTCCCCATGCCGGGGCTGCGTACGTTATTATTGGGCGTAGGAGTGTTT